GATGCATTCCCTCGCCTTGCATGGTGTGCTATTGAGGCCAATAGACCTTTAGTTGCCGGGCGATAGACGGTCACAAGTTTTGTAGATTGGTGTGTAAGTGGCCTCCTTCCAAAACAGAGGGAATGCAATCTTCGTCGAGCGAGTGGCGAAGCCCCAGGCAGAAGTGATTTGCCAGTTTTTCAAAGTTTCCTCGGGATAATTGGATAGGTATCATCTGGCCCCAACGCACTGAAGATTTTCGTCTTATGCAAGAGTTCCCGAGCGTCCTTCTCGAAGACCAAGTCATTTAGATGTTGCTCTAAGTCACGTTTTGAGACGATTGAATGTGACGAGGTTGCTTTGGCGGAACGTGGCCCCGCATTATGTTCCTTTTTGGTCCAACGGTCGGGTCACTCGTGGGTTCCCCGCTTTTGTCCCTCGGGGAGAAGGTAGCTGGCATCATCTGAACATCTTCGAGCTGCCGTCGCTGTTGCAGAATTATTCGGAGACGTATCGCCACAGCTGACATCATGGGTTGGGTTGCCGCTGGTTGTTCTGCCCTGCGAACGGCGTTACAGGTCCTAAATCGGTTGATGACATCCGATTACATTTATTACGATAAATCATAAGGCATGGCAGCTTTTACAGGGGAAAATCAAGAGAATCAAGATAGGGGGAATCGTGGAGGTTTAAACGAGGTCCGGTATAAAGCAGCTGGAACTTGACTATACCTGCTTACACTTTTATGACCTAGTGTGTATGGTATCAAGAGAACAAGATAGGGGGAATCGTGGAGGTTTAAACGAGGTCCGGTATAAAGCAGCTGGAACTTGACTATACCTGCTTACACTTTTATCGTATGACCTAGTGTGTATGGGTACCTCTTCCTAATAAAGGTCTCAACGGCGGACCCCAGACAAAGAGGGTAGTCCGATTGTACATCTCTTTAAGTGACCCCGAGCTCTTACTGCATCTGCGCTTGACTTATGCCTGTAGTTTCGGTTTTAGTACACACACGTTGTTGCCTCGATTCAGTCCTCTCTCCCGCGTCACCCAACATGTGCGAACGTGTGCACTGTCCTATGGCCAAAATAATATCATTTTCTATATATGCACATTCCAGAAACACCGTTTAACGTAACCACATTCTCGCGAACGTCGAATCCAACAGGTTTACTGACACTTCACGCTACATCCGTAGTGGGCCGAGAAACGATGAGCTGCAGATGCCTATTCCTACGTCAGACCGCTCCTGGAGTACGCCAACCAAGTTGTCTACTCAGGACGTACGAAAGACGTTACCCTCATTGAGCGTGTCCAGCGGGCCGCCACGAGAATGGTTGCCGGCCTCAAGTCCGTGGACTACGAAACGCGTCTCGCGATGCTTGATCTCTTTCCCCTGGAGTACCGTCGCCTCCGAGGGGACCTAATTCTTACTTACGCCCTGTTTGAACAAAGCTTGGCAAACAGGTTTTTTACCGTTGACCCAGCAAACACCCGGCGAGGACATAGTAAGAAAATCTTCAAGCTCATAGCACACACATTCATTAGACAAAACTTTTTTTCATTTCGGGTATTAGCTCCGTGGAATGACCTTCCTCCGACGGTTGTACACGCTCCTTCTCGAACCCAATTTAAAGCACTATTAGACATTTATTTATGCGAATCCTCGCGCTGGCGAGCATACTGCCCCGCGCTGAGAACATAAAGAGCAGTGCTACACCCTTTTTTCACTTGTGCCTTTCAGGTGAACGACAGCCACTGACCGACAAGAACAAAACCGACCCGGGAAACTTGGGCAAAAGCCTCGATCCTGTGCATCAATCCGTGAATCCGTGATTCCAGCTTAGCACGCATTCTGACCAATCAGGGCATTGCCTCGTTTGCTCCGTAGCCGGCTCGCGGCTCATCTGTCCATTGGACTTGTAACGCGGTTGAAGCTGAATTGTACCTGGTTACACGTGTTTATCATATCACCTAACATATGTGCATATCTTTTTCTCCGTGTCGCAGCTAAACCCGACCAAACCTACTAACTGAATTGATTGCTTCCATATCATGCAGTCTCACAGTTACAAAGTTCATTCAGCAATGTTCAAATCCTTGTAGTGAAAAAAAGACGGAAGGGTGGATGAGGAGGGCACCTGGTTTGAGAGGAAACTGGCAGCACGAAGATACTGGCATCCGTAAGCCACTGTTTCTTGAAGTGGCTCCAGATAAGCGCGTGAGGGTCCCGGAGGTCCCGTCCTGGAAGTCGGACCGGGCTAACAACAACCGAACACCTCTTATTCTTTCTGATACCTTATACCAAGTCACATTCACTTCGTAGTACTCACCACTCTGATATAGGCACGGGGAACCAAACGCCCCGGTAGACTTTTGATATACGTAGCACATAAATGAGCCACCGGGGGTGGTGATGCTGGGTGTGGCCCACGATTGAGTCATCTACTGATTAACCAAATACTCGTCTTCTAATGATATTACGAATTAGTTGACGCCATCCGGTACCAACAACGCTTCTGAGACGGTGATCAAAAACCTGTAGACATCTCACCACTAGTTCGTAGAGGCCACACCATATAACAACACAATCCTTCATCATCATCACGTGTAAAACTGTGTACTTGTAGCTCGGTACACGCAATCCTTGAGACCCTGTCGTGTGACTTTTGGACGCCACAAGTGACAATTCAGCGGACGTGATTCGAGCCTTTGGATCTTCGCAAGGCGGGTTCTTCAGACTCTCCTGTCGGAGCTAATATAACTGCGGGTTTTTCACAACCCCAGTGCGTCATTAATTATGACTTGAATGTTCGGCGAGTGCACGCTTTTCGGCGTGACTTTTCACTTTGTAGGCACGAGGCGCATACCAATAGGTTGTATAATGTTAGTCGGTTTATTCAACATTTCTTGTGCTGGAACGTTGTCTGTATGCTCCATACAAATAAGTTTCTCACCAGAAACTATTTAAACAGTGCGGTTTTGAAGACCTTCCAGCATTCTCTTCATTATTTTATGGATGGCGAAACCAAACAAAAATGGAGAGGGTGAATATCCTTACCGGACACTCGGGTAACCTGTAAAGAGCTTACCGTACACTCTTACCCAGAATTATATGAATATAAGGATCGGTTTGTGCTCACAAACTTTTAAGGCGTGCCCTGTTGCGCAAGAGTGATTAGAAGCACTGATGGATCGATACAGTCGGACACACCCTTGACATCACCGGACATCAAGATTGTGGGTCCTGTGTACATAGGGCATTCTAACACGACAGAGTGTGAATATGTGGTCAATGTATCCTGTGCTCAATCCAATCTCGCTTGATACTCAAGTCAAGTTTTCACGTGCCGCCGCAAGACGAAGAATCAGTGATGCCATAAGCCTTGTTATAAGGAGGGTCAAAATGACAACCCTGCGATTGTTACGCTAACTGCAAATGCGTTTTTTTTAAAGACGCACTATCGTCGGCTCACCGCAGTCGTCTGAGCATCTCTCCTAGGTGAACGTAAATAGGCTAGACGGGCAGCGAGTGAGAAATTTACTGCCACCCTTAGGGGAGGGGCAAGTTCGTCAGGAACAGGAGCACAAAAACACTTATGTAGGGATGTACATTCTGATGCTCCCGAGGCTGGAGTTAGCTCCATATATGCAGTCCACTTTTCTGTTGAAGGCCGGCAGTAGAACATGACCAACTAAACTGTTGTTCGAACTGTTTTGCCCAACAATTCAAACGTTCCTTGCTGGATATCAGAGAGCCACTTTGATCCTCTATAGTTTCGCTGACAAGAAGCTTCCGAGGATCAGTCGGGCGAATCAAGTGAAACAGTCTGGGGTCATTTCTGGCACTTTTCTCTTCTGTTTCTTCGGCCACAAAGCTTCCCAATCTGCAGGGGCACTCGGTTCTATGACGTCGAGTTCAGTCGTGGTCCTGACTCAGGAGGAATCTGTCGCCGGGCGTCCAACAAAGCCATGGTTTTGTTAGAGTTCTTGTGCCTGGATGAAGTTAACTGGATTGTACCGCAAGTAGAAGTTCCGGCATTAAGTAGGCCTTTGAATATTCGTCTCCCTCGACCATGAACGTTCAAACAACCGGAAGGCTTTGGAGGGGGAGGACCTGAGAAGTCTATGTGACTTTTGAGACCATGAGCTTTTCAATGTCTGTTTAGGGTGCACGCGTTTTGCGTGGACCTAAAAAGGCGCACTGGAAAGCATCAACGGATAAGTGCATGACCAGAGTCCACGCAGGTATTCTTTAAGAAGCTTTGGGCAAGGTTCAACTATCACCACCGGTTATTGATTGCGGCTTGGTCTATTCGGATTCGGGTGTGGCTTGTTGATGGACACCACGTAGTCGAACGACTACCGCTGTTCCCGAAGACCGATACTGTAAGGGAATAGTTTGTGAGAATACCATTCACGAATGTGCCCAGCGGATGTCAGACCATAGACTGTTACGTTGTGATTCTACAAGAAGTGGCTTATTCTGCTGCCAAAACCGATGAAACCAACGAAATGGCCACATCACTCGCTAAAATACTCCTATCCCGCAAATATTACGCTTGAATGCAACCTGACAGTGAACTTCACTCTCGGCTCACTTCCAACGGCGACTAGGTACCCGTTCACGGCTTATGTACACCAGGGTAGCGTACCTCTTACATAATACCGAATGCAAACTGCTGGGAGACAAAGTTTGTTGAACCCATAGACGAACCAGTCGAACTAGCGAAAACGAAAATTCGAATGTGGCGTCTTGTTTGCTTGCATGTACGCAAGTTTCAACTCAGGTTGTTCATAACATCCATCTCTTTTACACCAACCTCTTGATTTCAATGTTACCGCTCAGGTAAATGGGAAAAATCATATGAGAAGAAACAACCTACTTCTAGATCGATTTACAGTGACCCAGGTCCGTCCGTGGTTAGTTTTGCGCTATGTAATAAAGTGCGCCTCGTTCTGCAGCGCCTGCAAGCCAGTGAGAACGAGTCTGATGTTTTTTTTCTGTTTTTTTTGCAGCCTCACTTGCCGCATTTTTAATCCTGGTTTCTGTTTGATCCTATTGTGCCATTCATCTGTTGATCTGTGGTGACATGGCGGACGAATCAGAAGAAACTACCGTTTCCATTGAGGATGTTGTCAAATCTATCAATGAGGAACAAGCTATCGTTATGGGTGGCATTGATGATCGAGCATGTTGCAGCTTCACAAAAGTAAGTCTATTATCGACACCTCATGACTTCTTCCTTATAAAGGGATACATGAAACGTCAGGCAATCTACACTTGCCGAACTTGCTTGGATACTTCGAACGTTCATGCCGGCTTCTGCTATCCTTGTCTGCTCAGTTGCCATGATGGTCACGATACTTTGGAACTATACACAAAGCGGAACTTTAGATGTGATTGTGGAAACCAAAATTTCGCTCCGTTTCAATGCAAACTCTGGGAAGTGAGTGTTTACGTACAATATTTCAGTCCGTAAAATCGGCAACGCCCCAAAAATTTGCCGGTTTATGTAGTTTTTACGTCTCCATGGCACAGTTAACCGTTTATCCGAACCGAGGATAAAGTGTTAGTGAGAAGTATCATCTAGACTTTTCACTTTAGTATCGGGAAATATTAGTCAAAGTATCAAAAAAGCAATCCAGCTGGATGAATGGATGAATATACCGTGCAATAAATCAACTGTAAACAGCGTACCGGAGCTCAGGGGTCTGGGACAGAGTCAGCTATATATTGAATGCGATAGCTTGCATCGACATGGTGGGGGCATTTGGCGAAACAACAGGCTGAGATATATTTGTCCAAAATATGTTATTGGATGCTGTGAATAACAACAACAAAAGTCGTTCAGGTGTGACACCCTTTCGGTGACTTGCCGACGTGCCGCCTGAAGGAACTGCGAGCGCTGAAATACTTCCAAGTTGCCCAAACTTAGACAGGATCAGTCGAGATACAACGGTTGGATTCGATGCTGTGGATAGTTCACTGACGATGTCACCTCAGTTGGTGATGAAACGTTCACGAATTGACTAACAACCAATAGTCCGTACTACTCACTAAAGTGGTTCGCAAGGTTGTGGAGGCGAAATGGCTCAGTGGTTAGAATGCGAATTAGCTGACCGGAAGGTCCGTCGTTCGAACCCGACCTCTGAATCTCGATTTGCCCTGTCTAGGCTTGGGCACCCTGGCAGTACCCCAGACCCCATGCTTCCTTCGGGTGGCTGGGCAGTGAGGCACCGAAAGGATGCTATAGATGGACGATTTTTTCATAAGGGTAAGGGAACCTTAGTCAGGAGCTTCGTGTGAGTGTGACAGACATTGGGTTGGGTGAAAGCATGAAGCCGCCAGTGAAACTTGAAAACGCACTCCCAAATCGTAAACAGCATGGGAATAAAACACAGCTGTGGAGAATAGTGAAGTTTTGGACATGTGAGCACTAAGCTTAATGTTGTAGTAAATTTCACATGTAGGAAACAACAAGTTGCTGGTGAAGGTAAGACTAAGTAGCGAGCAGCCGGGTTGATTGAGGGATTGTCAGAACCACGAAAGAATGGAAGTTTCGCAGAGAGATGGAGAAACATAAGTGAATTCGATATGAATAAATGTAGGTGTGCCCAACTAAACACAAGTATAAATGTTTGTAGATCACTACAACTTTAGGTAAGGCAGAACTCCGGGAAGAATGGGTATTTGAACTGTGTAAGTTTGCTTCATTCGTAAAGGCATGGTTGCTGCCAGAACTATGAGGGGTTGTCGCTGAACTTGGGGGACCCCTTGTATCGGAGACAAAGCACTGTCAAAGCGTTACATAACAAAGGGCCTTGGTTGCTCTGGTGCATGTTTCCCGCTAGATTGGAGTATTGAAGACCCCGTACTGTAGCTGTACTGTACGGGGTGTTTTTTTGTATGGCTGTGAGACTTGGCCTATTCGAGCAGCGGAACTGAGACGTCTTCACGTGTTCGACAATCCTTGTCTCAGAACTATTGTTTCTGTGAGTTGGTGTGGGCGAATCCGTAATGAGGCAGTCAGAAACCGCGTTTTCGGTTTCTCAGTGGGTACTCCCATTGAAGAATGTGTCCAGCACCAGAAGCTGCGTTGGTTGGGACATGTGTTGCGTATGTCGAAAAGAGCGCTGTTTTCCATGCCCAACTTAGAGTAGCTTAAACAGAGAGGTAGCCAACCCTTGACTTGGCAGAGGAGTATGAAGGAGATCACGAAACGCTTGGGTGCTGTCGGTGCTACTCGCTTTTCAGGATGGGGACCGCGTGATCCTCAGTGCGCCTGGTTGGAGACGCTGCAATATATGGCTGCCAACCGATGTCAGTGGCGTTCTTGTTATCAGTTTCTATCCAGATCGCCTGAGTGAATGTCCGGAGATGTGGGAACCTCGGAATGATTGTGGTAAGCTAGCACCAAGTCCCTTTACTCTTTTCTTCACAATAAAGGCTTTCAAATAAATCATGGTTGTACGGCAGGGAAGCATCGGTGTTTAACACCGAACTCCTACTGTCAATGATGGTGATGACTCCCCACCATTTATCGACATGGCGATGTCACAACATGTAGGAATGTTTTATTTATCCTCTTGTTCCTAGAAACGCTTTTCTATGCCGCTCCATCATACGCTATTCGCCATCATAGACTGCGGTGACCCGACAGGAGAAACACATGGTTTCACCTGCTTACTTAGCCCTTGGAATGGAGCTGGGTTCTCCCGTCGATGGCGAACCAGGCTTTCGACAATCATCTGATGTGCCTCAGGAGCACTGACCTGATTTTTTACTCAGACACGTCTGGTGCTTCGAAAATATCGATGCTCAAATGCCGTCATGCATCTGTTCACGGCAGTCACACATACGGCGAAGCCAACACTGACATTGAATGAAGTTGAAATTACACCTGCGTCTTTAATGCTTCTCTGGCTTTCCAGGTGGAAGATGCTATTTCTGTGCCACCGAGAGTAGGACGGCTTTCCAAGTAAAAGAATATTTCGGCCACATCGATGGCTTATACGCAAGGTATGAATTTCATCCTGCCCAATCTTGCAGCACCACTTTACGTTTTATGGGCATGGTGAGCATACCTTGCAGCATTACTACTTTGCTGTTATTCAGAGTAGCTTGTTTCTTCAATTGTCCAAGTTTTATATGGACTCAGAATACATCAACTAACTCCAAGCGAATATTTTGACTGTGAAGTCCCTAAAAGAGGAACAGAAAATTCTACCATTCTTCCTATGGTGAAATTGTAATATAAGGGCGAGTGCAGCACGAATGTATCCACCTTTTATAAGGTCACAGTCGCATCCTTTAGAGCAATAGAAATCGAACTTCTAAGTCTTAACAGATAGCGTTGTCGGGTTCATTCAGTACGTGAACACATTACTGCCATTCCATGCTTACTTAGTTGAGTCTCAACGACTTTCACTGGTACCGGGCGTATCCACTGATTACCATCGTTTTACCTACGTTCTAGGAGAAAGATGATGAAAATGTCGACAACCAATATAACCACAACTTTTCCAACAGCTATTGTATTTGCCAACGACCTTATCCAGACGAAGAGTACGAGGGCAATGAGGAAATGATTCAGTGTGGACTTTGCGAAGATTGGTTTCATGTAGAGGTGAGTGGATCTTTATCGTTACTCGTCCACCCACTTTGTAGCATCTTAATCTTCCGGATGATGTCGCGGCACCAGATGAATATGAGGAGATGACGTGTTCTCAGTGCCTCAGAAGATGTGCCTTTTTATGTCTGTACGCACTTTCACGAAAGGAGCAACCCTGGTGTATGGCTTTTAGCACTCTGTTGTCCAGTGCACAAGTAGTGAATGGCCATGTGAACATAGAACCTGAAACAAAACGGCTCAAACTGGATGGTGAATCCAACGGACCTATCAGTCCTTCATTGGTGAACGACTGTGAGCTACTGCGCATAGCCTCAGATTTGGAAATTCAAGGTTTCGATTTTAAAAAGCTGCGAGTCAAAGATCTTGGACTGTCGGACGACTCCAAAGTGCCCTCCGTGTTTTGGTCCAGTGGCTGGAGGGAACGTCTCTGTAGGTGTCCATCGTGCGTGGTAAGTGTTGTTTTAATTACGAAAAAGATTAATGCATGGTTTGTCTATATTATGTCAAAATACAGTCCAAGGCATCGTTTGCTTTTAAGTACCGAAAGCTTGAGTAGAGGAGTGCTAACACTGCACACGGCTCTTTAAAGGGACAAGTTCACATTAACACCAACATAATTCGCTTGGGAATTTATCGAAAACAGTGAAACGCCTCCTATTTGGAAGCCATTTTGCCCTAGGACTGTAACCTTCTTAAGCGAGCTTCTTCTCGTTATTCTGACTTTTTCTCTGATTGAGGTGTTATAGGACCTTCAGGGGTAAATTTCCCACCTTGTGAAAGCTGGCTTTCACTACGCGCGCTCAAGTTACCACTTGAGATACGCAGTTGACTAAAGGAGATATTCGAGATATTCGGCTTTTCAGCATAGATTGTCTTCACTTACAGGACGAAATCTCCACAGATATTCGAAAGCTCGACCGTTAACGAGGCAGAGTGGGAATGATAAGCTTAATAATCGTGAAGCCCATTTTCATTGCGAACTTGGACAAACATCATACTTTAAGCCATATTCGAAGCGATTGTCACTCTTGTATGGTCGCTTCTGAAGTTAGCTTCTACATATCAAAAAACCGTTTATAGCCCGTATAATGTAGGGCCAACAGGGTATCAGCTGTGAATCAGGTTTATTCCACCCGTAATTCGTCTACTCCGACCAGGTAAAGTATACGCAACCACTTTTTTGTTGTCCTTTTGTACTGCTTCCTCCCAACCAAGATGAACGGTGAACTCTTGGATCGGCAGTTGTTTATCTTGAGTCAGGTGGTCGAACAGCAGATAAGTTTTGAAACTGGATCATTCTCAACCCGGCCAGATACAGTAGCGCAGCAACGCGCACCCGTCGCATAATGCTACCAGTTCCGTAACAGTTTGTGCCCGCTACCACAGTCTTTTTTGCAGCATAGTTCGGTAACTGAACCCAAAGGACCAATTAAAGTGCAACTGCTCTGCACCAACTCATCAACTCGAACAGGGAATCAAATGCACCTCTGTTTTCTGAGTCTTGGTGATTAAAGTTATCACCAGGACAAATCTGGTCCGAATAGTTAAGTTGGGAAGACAATCGAGACGTTTTAAAATACGGTTACTGCCCATGGTTTGGAATGTAAAGGACGCTCAGCCAAGCTGGTATCAGTCGAAGCGCACTCTTTCACTAATGTTACTTCTAAAGGACACATGATCGTATGCACAAAAAGGTGACCGTCATATACGTCTTATTCGTGGCACATCAGTTTGCTGAGTTTGTTTCCATTAGACAACAATGGTTTTGTGTATTTGATGGAATGAATGCCCAGATCGGAACTTTCGCCAGTTCCTTTACTCAGCAAAACTACTCAGTACCGCTTATTTTGTGAGGACTCACCTTTCCGCGATTTCAACTCAGGTCCCTTAGTCTACTCCCTGTTATGCTGGACGCCACTGTCCGTACAACTAGAGGTCACTGACATGTACATACACATACATATAACCTAAACAATTGGGCTGATGACATTCTTACCGCGGTGGCAGTCGTTCTCGTCAAATTTCCCGTGTCCTGTTTTTAGTGCGTAATCGCCATTCCATCATTGTTGTTTATCAATGGTGACTTGAACCATCCTATACGTATACACGTTTTGTGATCGGAAAGCTAGACGGAAGTGAGTGGGATTAACTTCCCAAGATATATGTCCATTGTAGTGTTTGCTATACTAGTCTGGACAGAACAAAGCGACCATGAGCTTGAACGATGCGCAAGGTTCGCGTGAAAATGATGATGGAGTGGCTGCTAGTCATCGATTGAACTCTGGTTTTCAACCAGAGGGGAGACAATGACCACGGGTTTGCAGGCTTAAGCTTCTAAAACACTGTAGGTCTACGCTGCCACGTGTTCGAAACGCCTGGTATTTTAATCTACTCACTAAACATAGTATTAATCGCGATCCTGACCAAAGGAGTTCCGTGGAGCAAAAGGTATGCAGTGTGATCTACTGGGCACATCAGCCACCTAGTGCACTGAACGGGATCAGGATCAATACAATAACTGGGTTGGCAGTAATCATGAGTTTTTTTCATGAGACTGTTAGATTTACAGGCGTAATATAGGTGCGGACTGAATGATCTAAATTAGGGATTTTGTTTTTGAAGGTGACCAGATTGAAAGCTCGTATTACAGAACTGCTAATCCGGTAACAAATTTGACAAATAGAAGCTTTCTTTATGGTGGTCGTTGGCTTGTTCGCTGGGCTGGGCAATTTGGTTGCAAACGTTTCATCACCAATCGAGGTGACATCATCAGTGCGTTATTGTGAAGCGTAGTAGTGCGTAGCGGTGGGTTGGTGGTTGTGCACTGATGATGTCACCTCGATTGGTGATGAAACGTTTGCAACCAAATTGCCCAGCCCAGCGAACAAGCCAACGACCACCATAAAGAAAGCTTCTATTTGTCAAATTTGTTACCGGATTAGCAGTTCTGTAATACGAGCTTTCAATCTGGTCACCTTCAAAAACAAAATCCCTAATTTAGATCATTCAGTCCGCACCTATATTACGCCTGTAAATCTAACAGTCTCATGAAAAAAACTCATGATTACTGCCAACCCAGTTATTGTATTGATCCTGATCCCGTTCAGTGCACTAGGTGGCTGATGTGCTCAGTAGATCACATCGTTATGTTTTGACTACTTGGACATTCCCTGTGCACGTCTCCCTACTCCAGTCATCCTGACCTCATGTGAGGATTCTCAACAGACAAGTTTTGTTGCACTTATTGTGCACTTAAGCGGATTGTGGAATTCGTATTCTACAGACCAGTTTGTTCGTCAGAGCTCTGTTCATTAGCATTTTATTTGTAGTGTAAATGATGTGTCAAATGACTAGTGATCGGATCCTGAAGCCCATCGCCCGACTTGCTATTTAGGCAGGACTAGATGAACAATGGCATTAGTAAGCACATCCAACCCACCGTGTTAATCGAGTGTGTGACCTAACCGAGACCTGAAAGGAGTGCTAATATTGCTCTCACTGGAACGTCGCGAAATAAACAGCTGCTCAATGAATAATTTGGTCCACAGTTGTTATTTTTCGCCCATGTAGGTGCGGTTTTTTTTCAAGGAAGATGGTGTAAAATTCGGCCGGCCGTATTCTTTTCCGCTGTTTCTGCCGTACCATGCGCTATACTTGTTTGGGCGTTGCTGTAATCCTACCCCTATGCGAATTGATTTCAGTACACTTTTTTCTCCGCATTTAGACTCTGTACAAATACCTGAACGTCAGTTATCTTCTTGATCCGGAGGATACTATGGAATATTATTTGGCCCTCGGTGAAAAAAAGGCAATTGAGATTGAAAAAGAGGAAAACGAAGCCCTGTCGGAAGCTCTGTCCGAATTACCACATTCAGTTGCCAGTCACATTGCTGCTGGTAAGCTATTGGTGGCCTACAACTTTTTTTGTTCAAGCAGTCGTCATCGTACTAGACATTAATACATCAACAGCATACACCGGTATCTTACCGCCCCACACCCATTTTAAACATTGTAGTGAGAATTGGGAAGAAGCGGAGACTGGGGACCTTTTGCAGAGTCATAGGAAAACCCGTCAAGGGCGAGGTCCGTATACTCTTAAACGACACTGAAACTGGCACGTGTGAGCATAGCGTTGGAGTAAGACTCAACCGGGCCCGAGATAACTCAGTGATTAAAGCGCGAGCTTATTGACCGGAAGATCCGTGCCGAGATAACCAAGGAATAAAGCGCGAGCTTATTGACCGGAAGATCCGTGGGTCGAATTCCACCACAATATATCGACTGCTTGTGTCCGGGCTTGGGCACCCTGACAATATCTCGGCGCTCGTGCTTCCCTGAAGGTGGCATGACAGATAGGCACCGAGGGTGTGTTGCATCTGAACGATTGATAATCTTATTATCACTAGTATTATTCGGAGTCTACCAGTAAAATACTTCCGAGCGTACGAGCCTTACCAAGCACAAAACTCAGTCTTCAAAAGACCGATGTAACATGCTGTCAGTCACATTAAAATTACGAGCTCTCGAACCGTCATCTCCAACCCACAAGCAGCATTTTACCCATGCTTTACCTCGCTCCACCGCACACAGTTGTTGTCGGATTAATGCAGCGCTGGCTTTTTGAGTGCAATATTTCGATTTCACTTTGGAACCATTAGTTGCAACAGGATTTAAAATGAATTAGTGTTTTCCTATTTTGGCGGTTACCTCAATGCTAAATGGTGCGTCCCCAGACACAATCTTCAGAGCCGAAGATCGACCGTCTGTTCAATCATAGGACTTTACTAGACAACAGGATGATGTGTGAAGCTTCAGTATGCAGTGAAGAGATTTAACTTGCCGTTCGATGAAGGAGGGTTGGATACTCAAAGGTGCTAGGACAAAAAACAGTTCTGTTTCACCTACATCCCCGACAACTTATCCCCATGTCTGTTGTAGCAGTGAAACGTCCTTGACAGAAGCTCACCTTGAACTGTTCCGTCATCTGTGTCACTAAAATTGCATGTTGTACACAAAAGTTAGTCTGCACTTTACATGAATACTGCGGGAGTCTTTTGTGTAAGGATTCCGGTACACGACAACGAAGTCATCGCTCCGAAATATTTGTTCGTCGATAGGTCTCTTTAACCCGAAATAAAAAAATTACAAGAGCGGAAAAACCATGAGATACAAGTAGCGCGCCACTGGACGGTTTCTCGTACGGTTTTGCTGAGAACACCAAGGATTGCATGCAGCATGGAGGAAGGGATTGATACGAGGCGTAAATAGTCATATCCGCTGGAATTCGTCCAGTGCGATTGCCCATTTGGAACTACCGACATCTGGAAGGAACCTACCTAGCTGAATCTATGTTGCTTCGTTGGTGTTTTCAGGATGGTAGTCATTGTTTAATCAGTGTGAGACGAAATGTTGAGGGGACGTACGCATCATGGAGCAATAAATACATCTTAGGGGATGATGGTTGGATGGCAAGTGTTCGCTTACTACGTGCCCCTTCATGAATAGAGACGCCGAAGGTGAATGCTCGTGGCATTTAATCGCGAAGAAAAATTGGTTGAAGAAAGTTCAACTGAAATGACAGATAGGTGAACGTAACCCAAACCATCAGCAATATTCCAAGGGGGATGGTGACGGACGGTGATTAGTTTAAAGCTTGCTATCGCCCTCAAAGGGAAGTGGGCTAACTCTTTATCCGTGTTCTCATCGTGATGACGCAACCGGGAAAGTATGCCATATTTCATCGCCAGAGCGGATTCCTAGACCAGGATGATCCGCCATCTGGTTCCCATACCCTTTCGTCCAAGACTGATGAATACCAAACAAGAACATGATAATATTCGCCCTCAAATGGCGCGCAGTCGGTTTTACGGACATACAGAGTTATCTAAAGTTCAGCTTCTCATTAAAATGAAGAAAAATTGCTGATATGTTTGTGGTGAGTTGCCTGTCTGTTTTCACATGACATGCGTTGTATTGTTAGGCTGTCTTTTATGGAAGTGGGGCGTTTCCCAGCTATTTTAGTCGGGAGAGGTAAATGGTCCTTCCCAGGGATGACTAGTAGTGATGCAAAAATACTCGTCCGTTGGATGCGCACAAAGTGAAAACTGTCCCTTTTCTCTATCTAGGTGTGAACTATATGAAGGAGACGTTGGAGGAATTTTTGAAGAAGAAACATGAATCTGGTTGCGTAAGTTTTCTCTACAGCGGTTTTCATCTCTCAACCCGCTAGTCGTTATCTCAATATTCGAAAACAGAGATTGCAAGTGAACTCCGTTTATCAGCCTAGTAATCTAGGTTGAATGCGAGAATTAATCATGTGCCTTAGAGTTTGCTTTAGCTGGACGGTGGGTTTGCCACCCAGTTTGTTTCTACAGAGTCTGGCTGAGTCACCGTAACGCCGTAAACTGAAGCGGTTACCCATATGGTTGTAGCTATTCAGCCGTGAAGGTGCATCCGTTACAGCTCCTCTGCTTTTGACTCCCTCGGCTGGGGCGGGTATGCTTGACATATTAGAGAACAGTTTAAAAGACACGGACAACCTGGATATACTTTCTGGATTCCGAAGCCGCCTTCATCAAGCAGAACTGCTAACACGTTCGAAGCCTTGTGTCAAGCAGCTCTGTCACTGTTTTCTGGACGATCCTCTCCCTGATCCAAACCAACTTTTCTGGTGCGTCTGATCTCCTGTTTCCTTATCAGAACACATCAGTAACGCTACACCCCTAACCGTGCCGGAATTCGAACTCCAAAATCTGACACACAAGACGAGCGTTACAAAAAAAGCGTCAGCTGTAGCACCCATCCGGTGCCTAGCTGCCATGCCACCCGAAGGAAGCACGAGGGCTAGGATACTGCCAGGTTGCCCAAGCCTAGACAGGGGAAGTCGAGTGGCGGAGGTCGGATTTGAACCACGGACCTTCCGGTCAGTAAATTCGCGCTCTAACCACTTGGGCCATCTCGCCCCAACTGTAACACCAAGACACACTGGGCGCACTCGACTTACGAACAGGCGAACTGTTTTGGTCTGTCCACTATTGTCGGATAGGTTGCGTCAAACGGTACTCAGCAGCCTTTACCATAAAACTGTACCACTGTCAAGTTAAAGTGACTATAAATCATAAAAACATGTCTCGGAATCATCCATAAGATGTATTGACGGAGAACGAAATGTGCGTCCATGTTAAATCAGGCGGACCGAAAGGGTTTACAGGCACAAAGCGCGCCATCTCACGCGTTCTCTCTGAACATCCAGTGATACATGCAAGCTGCGCACATGTGACTCACGATACAGGAATGCGCTGGTCAGTCTCCCTATCAGTGAGCTCTGTTTTCACTTATCTGTGTGCCTGGAAGGAACGTGGTTATTTGGCAGCCGGTCTTGAAGGCAACGTGCCAGAACTGATTGATAACACGCGTGGTTGCATGACTCGCAATGATGGCGCTCACAACACTTGAGTGTTTCTGAGTCACGGATGACGGAGTGTAGAAAGTATAGTCCTGATATACCAATGGGTGCGCCCGTCACGAAGGAACTGGAGCTTACCGCAGCTTGTGCACCTTCATAACCCGTTGAGCTATGCTGAAGAGTACACGTGTGACAGTGGTCAGTGCGTAATATGACCCTCCTGGCTTTCCCACCAAAAAATGTGAATGCTCTAGTGGTCTTACGCCAACCTTCAGTGCCTTGCGGTTAGCCACAAGCTTTGGTTGAGAACTATAGTCGTGCCCTCTGTCTAGGCCTGGGCGGCCCTGACAGTATCCCAACCAATGTATAATCTGGAACCACACCTTTACAAATGACCATGCTACATCGTGAGCTCGAGGTAGTTCAGTGGTTAACGCGCGAATTTGCTGACTGAAAGGTTCTGGGTTTAAACCCAACCTCTCCATCTCGATCGTTCCTGTTTAGGCTTGGGCAACCTGACAGTATCCCAGCCATCGCGTTTCTTTCGGGTAGCGTGGCGACAGGGTGTTACATCTGAACGATTATTTTCTATTATTTTATGCTACGTCGGCTGATGGTCGATGCCATCCACCGAGTCGCCTTACTTGCCGCATGCAGTGAAGTAGGTAAAGCGAAAATGGGCCGCTTCTGATGCCTTCCTTTTTCTTTCACATGTTCGTTCCTCCCACCCTGTTGTCAGCGGCGTCTCCGTAGCCTGACAGGCTCGTTCACCGCCCATTGGCGTTAGCTGCTATATCGTTGATTAAATCGGCTGTCAAGACGTAGACACTTCAAAACCACTCTTCAAACGGCGGCGCTTTGTTCATCTGGCAGGTTTTAACGTTCACACGCAGAAACAAGCAGGACAAGAGATCGCCGTTGTATGTACGCCGGACTTGTTTTTTATCGGTATGTGTTGTCTCTCTAGAACGGGAATTGAACACGCGAGTATACATGTTGAACCGACGTCCACTTCGGCTCGCGCTCGCTCCCGATGACCCAGAAACATCTGCTGCTCATTCTGCTTGGGTTGTTTTTTTAAGCCACCAAGCTGTAGACTGTCTGGTCGCCCGTTGATAATTGCCTCTGTGCTGCGGTTCGTTTGGAAATGTGTGTTAGAGTAACCCATAAACGCGCCGGTAATCGCTGGCTGTTTCACCCTGTCTGTTTACGCCCCAACAGACAGTAGCTTTGATACAGTCAAAGGCAGCTCTTACGACTTTTGAATGCTTTGTTGCCGTAGATACGAATGCGCTAGTAGGTTGAATTAGCGCTGCTGAGACTCAATTGGGTAGTCAGTTAGGAGTGGACTCGAGACGCGTCAACAACGGTGAACGCCTGTTGCAGTTATTTGCTGACTACAGACTGTGGAGTACTAACTTCCGGGACAACCGAAGTCGCTTGGCCACATAGTGCTTCCAACGTAAGATAATCCCCGCATTCCTGAAAGATGCTGGGCGCTCTGCTTGTGAAATGGCTCAACTAACTAGACACTGGACCTCGAGAAGCACTCAAATAATGCGGAGCCTGGACACATGTTCCTCCTTGCTGAGAGTACAATACTACCAGACGAACTGTCAGGATTCAGGTAAAAAAGCACCTGTATGGGTCGATGAGCCTCGTGGATCCAGAAAGGCTCTGCTTGGAAATGGCTCAACTAACTAGACACTGGACCTCGAGAAGCACTCAAATAATGCGGAGCCTGGACACATGTTCCTCCTTGCTGAGAGTACAATACTACCAGACGAACTGTCAGGATTCAGGTAAAAAAGCACCTGTATGGGTCGATGAGCCTCGTGGATCCAGAAAGCTGAGATACGTAGGAGTCGAGAAATTGAAAATTTGTGTAAATTGTTCTACTTGCTATGCATAATCAGCCTAAGGAAGTCTCCGGTTAGTGAAACAACCCCTCGGTTACCCGTAAAAAAGAAGAGCGCCTGAGTCATAGGGATGGACACTTTCAAGACCAACTCGACTGGAGTTGCTCGGTAGGAGTCGCAACCAGCAACGCAGATGGCTTCAAAAATAGTCGAATGTCCCTTAAGCGTCACCGAGCTGCTGATTCTGACGGACTCGCGTTGTGCTCACACATGGAGGTGGCGTCCTCAGTTGGTGTTTCTCCATATTATTTGCCCCCGTGTGAGAAAAAGAGACTGCTTTAAATAAATGGGTTGGGTAGATAGTGGAGTGTGCTAGCAGTTGCAGCCAGAGGGGAATTAGCTTCACTCCCGTGGGTTCTCTGCGTGGGTTCTTTTAAGTTGCCTTTCGAGGACACGGGAAGACAAGATGCGAGGACAAAAAGCAGAATTCCAGCTTGGAATGGGTTGTGTGGACATTTCCACACTCCCTAAAGTGTTAGAGAAACAACATGCACAAAGCAACCCTGAAATCCTAGTGCACCTTGACTTCAAGAGTGCTTTCGATGCCGTCGACTGGTTAGTTCTTTGGAACAAGCACAACAGGGTGCCCAAGAATGTTTTAAATACCGTGGTGCGGAAAAGCGTACGGAAAGCTCTCCAAAACCTTTCCTAAAAGTAGTGGTATCAGACAATTTGTTCACTCCGTCCACTTGTTTAATTTTGTCATCGATGAACTAACCAGGCGAACACTCCAAGATCTCCGAAATCCTGGTGTTCAGATTTGTCGGAGCGAGAACTGTGTCGACCTAGAATATACAGACGAGATTCTTCTCATTTCCAAAAAAGATACAGGAAGCGAAAGTTACTAGTATAGCTAACTAAGATTGCCCAGTTCGAGTTCACAAAGTGCAAAGTCATAATGTGGAACATTCGGTCTTCAGTATACGTCTAAAAATTCAAGGAGTGACACTGGGAGTTGTGGAACACTATGCGTATGTCGGAATCTGTATTAGCTTTGACAGTCACGCACGAATCTCAAAGGCCAGAACTGTTTTTGCTGATTTGCGCCATTTGTGGTGTTACAAAGGCATTTCACTGGGTCTCATTGGACGCGTGTACCAAACTACAGTGCGCGAATCGGTTGGAACTAGCGAATTAGGAGTTAGGTTATCAGGTAACGGATCTTTATTGAAGCAGATGATACCCCTGTCGAAGAATGCATCCAACAATCCAAAGTAAAGGTGGTTGGGTCAAGTGTTACTCATGCCGCGAAGAGCAATGGTTTCTATGCCTAATTCGGATTGATAGAGACCTAGGCGGACGGATGGAACGAGAAAGCAAAGAAATGCAGGACAATACGGGAAGTTTGAGCGTTTGGCTGGACAGGGCAGATAAGCGTTGTCATTATACACCGTCTACTAACTGGTGCAGTCCTCCATCGTGAACTGCATGCGTGAAGTTTATGTGCACCTATTGAGTGCAAGTTTGACCACCCGTTCGGATAAACTGAAGCTCAAAATATCTTTGAGGGAATGCATGAGTTGGCCTGCACCGTGACTGCAAACCCATTTGGTCAGCATGATTTGATACGTCTTCGAGCCACTTTTCGTTTTCCATACACCTAAATGATCCTGAGACGTCTTATTATTTGCAATCAACTGAACTCGAAGAAGGTGCACATATCCCTCCGCCCGTCGTACAGTGTTGCCTACCCTCTTACTTACCTCGATTTCGCCTTTCGACGAGGGGCTACAAAGCGCGATAAAATAACCCTAAGTCCACAGAATAAAGATAAGCGTTTAATGATTTGCCGGGTAAGATAGACGTACCGTAACTTAGGTCTTCTGATCCACCGATCTTAGTGACCGCAGTAGCAGTTGGCGTAAGGGTGGTGTGTACGGACCCGTTTCTGAATTATTTTTTGGTCAAACTAGATGAACTAGCATGGAGATCTCTTCCTACCACCGGAGTCAGATTTCGCTGACATGGTCGTACATTATAAGGATGGTCGCATAGGTACTCAGGTCAATTCGCATGGCTCGCGTAGAATCCCTCGTAGTATGAACGTACTCGGCGTTCCTTTATTTTATTAACCCCATTTGTCTTCAGCCAAGCCGTATCATCTTTCTGGATCCGATTCGATGAAGGCACTGGAGAAGCGTTCTGGTTTTCATTGTTACCGAGAGTTTAGTGAAGTAGTAACTCGCTGTTATACTGTTTGTTCCATTTCCCAATACTCCACAGGTGATCACAGAAGCCGAGATTCGAACGCTGTTTGAAAAACTACGTCAGGATCGAATGTTCCAGTGAATAACGACCCTGGATTTCTCCGTATCCCACATCCCATGTGAAGCAGAGACTCGTTATTTTCTTTTTATGCATTTATTTTCACTGTATTTATATTTATTTATGTACAGAAGAATTAGATGGCGCTCAGGCCAACCTCTTGAGCTTAGCGACAAAAAATCCATCCACATTGTGTTTGTGTGGATAGTACCGTCTTGTGCGCTCCATCTTCGGATGGAAATGAAATCCTTTGAAGCTGTAATAATAAATGTCGTAAGAGCAATACATGTGTACACATACTTGATAAATCCGTTTTCACCGAACAGCTTGGTCTCCACAATAGCAAGTTTACGTTTCTTCATGGCATACCAGATGATGGCTTCGTTTTCCTCGACCTGTAGTAGACAACAAGATGTTCACTGGGTTTCAGTAGTATAAGCAATGAAATATACTCACAAGTGATCTTTTCCCGTCAGAAATAGGTAGTCCTAAAGGGGAAGTGCTGCGCAGTCATACTCTTCAGCGCTCGAAACAAACACAGGTGCTGACGTTCGGTCTATGTTGGGAAAGTTTCCGAAACCCCTAGGAAACCGGGAGCACTTCATCCATTATAGATTACGATTTTAGTCAGTCGTGTTTCTAGACCGTCCGCGTAGATTACTTTCATTCTTAGGTTCTGTCTGTCAGCTGTCCGTGCATACATTGATGGTGTCTTCCCGATCCACGAGAAAATACTGTAAAGCTTCCAGAAGAGACAATATCGTTTTCAATAACGCTGCGACGAACAATCCAGAGCGCTCTAATGAGAAAATAGCTTCAAAACCACTTTAAGGCATGTATCAGCTGGACGAGCTAGCAATAACACAGCGAGTTTTGATAAGTGCAGTATGCTCATAACATTTAAAAAATGTCCCTTTGGGCGACCGTTGACGGGAGTGACCGCTACGACGTGCCGTGACCTGGTATCTTTTCCTTCATAAAGATGTACAGTAGCTAGCTCTAGGTGTATGACCTCTAGCTTCAATAAACTCTCCCGGTAAAAAAAACACTTTAGCATACAGAAAAATTCTCGCCATGGGATTTGTTTCCATAACCAAAACATCCCCAAAACTTGAAATGAAATGCTCCCTGAGTGTGAACCAGGAACCACCGTTTCATCTGCACTTATCCAGCCCGATTGAGCCAAGTGGGAATGCGCCTTTTCTAAGGAACCTTATATTAAAAAACCGAAGTAAATAGGCAGACTACGGCTTATACGGTCAGTTGATGTTATGTTCACAACATGGATATGGTCTTGTGTTTGGACGGATGGATGGATTTCGCTTTTACTTGAAGGAGTGGAGGCGATTTAATGGCTTGGCTTCTGTAATACGTGCACTCTTAGGGCGAGTTCACCCGTTCAGACGGGTTGGCTGGATGAGCGTTATCCCAATTTTGTGCGTTCATCATTCGGTATACATAATGAGTATGTTCAAGGGGGTTCAACAAACTTAGATGTGCGATATTTATTGTACTGACATACTGCTTCAGTTGGTAGACATTTCTTCATAACGATCGAATGTTATTCACAGTAAATGACGTTGGTTAGCTTGCCCGTGTGGACGGCCGATTCAACCGAATTCTCTACCTTGATAGAGGTGTAATTGGTCCCTGCAGAAATAATATGTGGACAAACTTGCCGTAGATGTCGTCACAGGCGAAAACTCATTTTGGTTGGGTCCAGTGAAATCGATTATCACAGAGGTATTTTAATGTACTATGCACAGACAAAACCGCAAGTCCACAACAGCGGCAAGATAGAGCTTCTGACCGGGGGACGTGTGCATCCATTACACTTATATTGTAGTTGTTCACATTTGGCCCTCAGTACAACCTACGAGTTGTACGATGGCCATGGGCTGAAATGACATGGCCGAAGGACCAGATGAAACCAATAACCATCATCTGACGGACAGGTAAAAGTGAAGACTGCTAATACTGAGCAACTGAAGCTACCGACTCCCAACCAACATTCGGATATATCGGAATAAAATCCACCATGGTGATTGCTGAATAGGTTTAGTGGTAAGCGATCTCACACTTTTCGACCCACTACCTCATTAGCATATATTCCGTCACTGTCCCCTTCATCGTATGTGCAGTAAAACCAGTGAAAATTGGAATAGAGGGCCTTAGCTCGAAATAATATAAAATGTCATCTGTTGTGGGGTTTGCGGGATATGCATTGTTCGTACTCACATCACTCGTTTGAACAGTGGTCTCACAACGAGTGGTTGCCAGTATACTCCTCAAGACAGCTTTCTAATGAGCCTACGGCTAAGCCTGCACCGCCCACTAGCTATTGTAGCGTAGCAAGTCTATCAAATAAACGGCTGAGTAGGAAAGAGCGTTGTCTGCTAGAGGACTTGGATTTAGCGGTGAGTCAAAGGGTAATAATGGTGGTAGAAATACCCCCTAGCAATGGATACAGTTGGTCCCAGCAGCCAGGGGGGCTCCAGATATTATACCAGCAGAGCGGAGAGCGTTAAACACAAGTGGATAACATGGTGATTACATAGGTGCATAAGGTTAAGGCCACTGTTGTTATGAACAAGAGTGATTATCTACAGAAGGTCAGGCAACACCTAGCTGAGAGTCCTTACCGGTAGAGTGGGAGTAGAACAGGAGTAACGCTGAAGTTGACAGGTATTTGTGGTGTGTGATAAATGACTTAGGGCAAAGTAATTCACATCGATGTGACCCCAAAAGTGCAACCCAAAAACGGTTTTACACTCTACCAAAACTCCATCAACGAGTGTCCTGATAGTAGACGGAATAGGTTCCCCACCCAATGAGCTGACCAGATGCTTGGCAGGCATTTTAAAGCCCCTCATCGGGAAATCTAGCATTTACATCAAGAAGTTAATCATTCGAATCATTATATGCAAATGTGCCAAAACAAGACTCGTTGGAAATCGCTAAGCGATTGCTACTAGCAGACACCAACCTTTCAGAACGAACATGGTTTCGGTAGATGAGATAGTGGGAAGTATAAAAGCATGCCTGAATCTCAACCACTTCGTTTTTAACACCGTGGTTTATACTCAAAAGCAAGGTCTAGGAATGGGATCTCCAATATCCCCGGTTTTGGAAAAAAAATATTTGTGGAAGATTTTGGCCAGAAGGCTTTGGCCGGATTCCCATACCCACCGAAGATATTTTGGCGTTATGCAGATGACGCTATCAAAATGAAACGAGACAAGGTCAGCGACTTTTACAGCCATCTGAACGATCTGAATCCACACATTAAATTTAGCATAGGGATAGAGTCAACTTAGGGTGCACTGGCCTTTTTAGACTGCATGACATAGTTGAAAACTACGGTTTATGAGAAGCCAACTGATACTAGGGCGATTCTGAACCACTCGTCTATCCGAAGTCGGTATTAGCTAGTATTGCCTCATCAATGTTGTGGCGTGTAATGGCCCTGTGCACAGAAGTTATTCAGGGAGCGGCCCAAACTGAAGTTAAGAACAAACTTCTGGGTAGCGTACATTTAGCTAGTTTGATCAGGCGCCAGTTATGAAGAGTATTGGTAGCTGTGGAGAAACATGACAGGAAATGGACTCGAACTGCTGGTATTCTCTATGAAACAGGACATCGACTAACATAAGAGTGGATTCCACAAGAGAAACACTGCGCTCTGGACTGGTCCGGTTGAAGGATAGCCTCCTGACGAACAGAACCAGGAGCTGTCTACAAAATCAAATGCAACGACTGCACTGAGGTCTCTACAGGACAGACGGTCAAGGAACTTCACACCAGAATCGGAGAGCACAGGAGTAAAATAAAACGGCTGCCGAGAGACTCAAGTGAACATCGAGCATTGAAAAACGCAGAAATGGCGAAACTGTTGAGGATATCAGTATCCCCGGGAACTCTGTATCTCTATGTATGCTAACGAACTTGCGACAGTTTTCAAGGTCAAACTGAGGATATATATTCAGTGTCACTTTTTCCGTAAATCGCCTGTTGTCCGAAGCATTAAATTGTGTCCAAGGTTTCATCTCCTTACTATTTCGCTGTACTAGGAGTTGGAATCAGACAGCATAGCTGGATGTAGAATATCGACACAGTCCGTTCGCTGTGTTATCCAAACATAACAGAAACATGCACTGGGCACGGGACAAAAAATACATTTAGCAAATGTTTAGGCTTTGAGGCGGAGACTATGGCCCACGCCAAAAAGAAAGGCCGGAGTGGTGGAAACTGCCAGGCATTCCAGTGTTAATAGAATAGAAGGCGTGGAACTGGCAAACGTGTGGAGAAAGGTTTTGGATAGAGGAGTCATTAGAAGTAGCTGAGACCGTAAGTGCACCTAATATCACCCACCCCCCTCTTCCACCAAATAAACTGCCGTAGCACTTAAAAGCCCACAAAGACCAAGGAAATCCACCAATTGCACCTAAGTTAAATCTTCAATTGAAGCACCTTGAACCGAAATATTAAGGAACCAAACCCGGTAAAAAATCATTTCAAATTCCCCAAAACCACACTAACCGACATTGGCATTCAACATTGATCTAATATGCCAACCTGAAGAGGTTTCACAGACTGGTTCCCCGTCTGCCTTGAAACCTAGCCAACTTGGTGACCTGCTCACTTGCTCTGATGAAGCGTCGCCCACTTAAAAACTAGCAATTGTTTACCAAGCCCCTTTGAAACTACGCTGACTAATCAAGCGGGTTTTCGCACGATGATCTACTTGTTACTCTCAACCTGTCGATATTCTTCCTGTAAGTATACCCTAATCTGATCGGTGTTTGTGGCGAATACTAAGGAAATTTAACTTCGGTGGCTTCTGATTCCAAAAGTCGACATCACAAATATTCTAAGTACGCTTCAATCAGCCTGTGTTCTAGAATATACAAAAGACAATCAAACCAAAAACCTCACCAGAATGGAACAAGTCGAGTAGACAACATATCCGCCAGGTTTGCAAGCATCGACCGCAGCTAAGATCAACTCCTTTTGTAGTGTTGCACAGCGCTGAATATCCTCATTCGTTTTGCTCGCCTTTACTGAATGATCTTTGGCGATAATACCGGTACCGGAGCAGGGAGCATCCAACAAAACTCGATCGAAATTGGACATGAGGTTAGGGAATTTCCGACCATCCTCAACGCAAACAATCGTGTTCACGATACCCATCCTATGGCAGTTGCCAATCAGCGCCTTGGCTCGAGTTGGATTTAACTCATTCGCGAAAAGGGTTCCAGTGTTTTTCATTAGCTGTGCTAAAGGTACGTAGAAAATGTCAGAACGTATCATAAACCAAAAAAGAAACTCTGTACAACTATACATGGCAAAAAATGCTAGAAACTAAAGGATCACGAAAACGGGAGGAACTCAAACACACGTTTCCATGCATCCGGTCAGGACAGGAACTTAGAAAAGGCTTTCAAAAAGTGAGATACAGATAGTCCTAAGGGGAGACGAAGAGTTAGACTAAATGATCCAGACAACTAGCGTACTTTCTATAAAAAAAACTGTTTTTGTTAGAACAGACTAGTTTCTTTACATGGCTTAGCTGGTTGCGACAGGCTGCTTAAAGAGTACAACTGCCTGACTTTCATTTCAAAACTCTAATGTGGCCAAAAGAATCACAAACATTGGATATGCCGTTCTCTGCAGACAACTACGCTGTTCTTAGTGTCGTTACAAAGAATATAACACTATCCTACTTCTTAACCGTAGGCATTTGGACGTGAGGTGTAAGAAAGAAAGAAAGCTTTCAGCTGTAGCACCCTTCCGGTGCCTAGCTGCCATGCCACCCGAAGGAAGCACGAGGG